ATGTTTTGCGTCATAGTAGCGTGGTAATTAGCTTCAAGTGGTGGATTAACCCGCGCCGACAGAAAAAAATTTAAATCAATCATCCGCGAGCTTTGCGTGAAGAATTAAATTGTTGATGAAGGGATATAAACAATTCAGTTAGACCGAAGAACATGTTTTTTTGTGATTTAAATGCATTTAATAACCTAAAATAAGGTAATCGTATTTTTCTTGTATTTGTATGCTCAACTCATTACCATGCCTTTAAGGGTCAAAAGAATTAAACTTTTGTTGGCACCATCATATTGTCGAAATGTGCTGATATGTTTTAGTTTGAACCCACCTAGAACGGATTTAAAACATTGTTTCACATAGAACGCTAATTTTAAAGAGTGGATACCTTATAGTTTCAGAATGTTCTATTTTTAAAAATTGCGCTATAAAAGATGGGGTTGTAATTGCTTTCGTTTAAAAAGGGCTTAAGTAAGTTCTCGACTTTATAACGGGTTCGTAGGAGCGCGAATTATTTTATAATTTCAGGCAAAGAAGCAAAGTTCACCTTCCTAAAAAAAGGGTAATTACAATCAACTTTAATAATCGTGAACTAGTAAAGGGAAAAAATCTCTTTTTATGTTTTTATGATTAAATCTGATATAGATTAGACGGATTACGTTTTAAAATGTAATCAAAATTGATGTAAATGTTGCGAAATGCAGAGCTTGATAAACTTCAATACGTCAAAGCACAATATTGAAAAACAAATAGTTCCTTTTATTTCTTTCGCCTTTGTGAGTTTTTAGAGAACTTTTGAAATACCATGCTAAACTCTATTTTCGGGTATAATCCGATCCGTTCAACCGTAAACCTCCAGCAGCGATAATGTCCACCACAGTAGTGTAACCATAAAAAATAAAATTGTACAAATAACCAAATTTTTTCCTATTTTCTAACTATATACAGTTGGATTCGTGTTATTTGAAGACGCGGTCGTTTTGACCACGTTTCTCATGTAATCATTTTTTGCGAACATTGGAAATGGAGAAATATAAGGGCGCTGTGATAAAAATATAGAAGGGAATTCTTTTCATATGAATATATTTGAAGGGGAGGAAATTTAAGGATCGAAAATTTCGTTAACTAGACGTATGGAAATAACTCCACAAAGTATTTTCCCTTCGGAACGACGATTGACACTTGTCGATCGTTTCCCAAATGAATACTGTGTTCCCTTTTTTAGTAGTTCATTCGCTGACATGGAAAGGTAACAGAGCAAACCATTTCTTTCAATGTAAGTGAAACATTATCGTGCGTTTTCTGTTTATTTTCAATCACTATTTCAATTAAGCGTACTTTAGCTAAAAGAAAACGACTTGTAGTTGCAAATGCGTTGGCATAGAAATGACACTTTTTTATTCCGTGGACTGAATCCGCTTACTTGCTATTCCATTCAAGCGTCACTTTTCTTCCCGGATGTATTAAAAGGTAATCAGGGGCAAAAGTGACAGTAGGTGCACCATGAAACGCCAATCACAAATTAATAATTAATGGCATAGTGTAAATACACTGAGGTACCTGCATATAAACATTTTGGTCCTTGCATCATATTTTATAGTCATTATACCGTACTCTGTGTCTCTTTGAATTTGGGAGTCTTTTTGTACAACAATCTTACAATTAAATTGGAATTTATTATTACCTATACCGTGAGAATCGTAACATTACAAGGTATCTATGAGTATACATTCTTACACTATGATACAATCAAACAAAATTCTTTCGTTTAAGTTCGCATTTTTACATCTAAATTGATTTAGTTCACTTAAATCTAAAGTAATATAAATTATTGAAAGACACATATATTGTTATGTAAACTACGTCATTCGTACAATGGTACCAGCAGCTATAGTAATGATGGGCCACCCCCTATGAGCCGAATTTCAAGCTTTCTTAAGATTAAATGTGGTTGTCAATTTAAATTGGCCACAATTTTGATCATAGTATTTGTGTTCGAAGTCAGTGTTGTTTTGCTTAAGAATTATTAAATGTTTAATTTTGTATAAATAATCGCCTTGTATTGCGATTGCTTTATCGTTCAGTGAAATTACGTTAAAACATTTGAGGGACATCTTGAAACAATTGCGTAGTGATTTTTTAATGGCTTACCTCCGGTAGGGGGCCGCTGGTCTTTCATTCGAAGTTCTGCTGGTGACTAATGTGATTTTGATTGATGTACGTTAACAAGATGATAAAGAAAAAGTTTCTGTAAGCATTTTGGTGAAGACAGTCAGTCTTGGTGGTTATAAAGTTGATGTAGAAGAAAGTTTAGATAGTGGTCGGAGAGATTCTGTTACGTCGTTATAAAAGTGAATGTTATAATTCAAGCGTTGTTTAGGCTTATAAAAAAGTACTTAGTGTTGTGTCTATTAAGCAGTAATGACAGGTGGGTTTTTTTCTATAAGGTTTTCTCGGTACTCGATAAAGTGAAGTTTATCCACCACCAAAAAGCCACTATTGCAACATCAGTTGGTGTTTGTATTTTTTTGGTGTCTTTTCTGGATCTTTTGGATGTTAAGGATTTATTAATATTAACGTAATTAGAGCTTCATTTAAATTTAATGTTTCAATCGATCACATGTGGGTGGTATTTGTCCTCAGGCGTCGAGTGCATTTCTTTCTTACAGCCTTGTTCATTGATTTTTGTGGAATAAATCATCTGTACATGATAAGATTTGTGTTTAATCGAGCCCAAATTACGACCCAGGATATGTGTTCTCAAGATAAATTTTCACCTCACCCAGGGTTATGGTAGATGTCAAACTTTTTGGACTTGTTGGGAGAGGGATAAGGCTGCTAAGTTTCCGGCATAATTAAATTTAACTCTTGTCGAGATTTTTCGTAGTAGCGGATGCCGACGTGCCTTGGGAAATTTTATAATCAATATTTTCGTATAAAAGGTTTTATCCGTATATGAGTTTGATTGCCATAATCGAGGCCATAATTAAGTATGAGACATTCATCCGGATCGTTAAAAGGGTTCAAATAAACACGATTTACATGAATTCACACAAACGAAACTTATTTTAAACACACAAATCAAAATAATCATAAAAACAATCCTTAACAAGGGCCGTTTATGACCCCGCATAAGCGTTCGATCACAATTAAACAAATTAATGAAATCTTGAACTACTTACAGTTTTCCGTTAAAATCACAAAAATCCGAGCAAAAACCATTACCGAACTTATAAATCATATCGCACTACACTTGTTCTTTAACTTCTCTTCGGGTCACAGGAATGTAATTTTACTCCATCGAACTAGACTGACTGGCCAAACACACGACATATGAAACGATGGCCGTTCGAAACGAAATAGACGAGACCTTCAATACAAATGCTACACCCAACTTTTAAGTCTTTCTCCAAAACATCCATTCGACCTCGACTTTTACTCGGCGAACAATACGAAACGCAAGACGCGACGCTTCTAAGCTTTTAACGAACAGTCCCCCGGCTTCGAAATTGGCAAAAAGCTCATGTTATATAATGTGCCTCTCTTACTATCAAAATTCAAAAAGCCTCCTCCAATTATCAAGCACGTAACATGACAACCAATCAATACTACGTTTTTCTTATCTCAGATAATAATTTTCTACGAAAAGCATGCAGTTTGACCCTTAAAATGCATTCTTATTGCTAATAAATGACATCAACTTTTTAAAAAAAGTAATCAAAGTGCCCATAAATTAAAACAGAACTGTCACTTAAATGATTTCACAAAACAGAAATAAACGATAAATTGCCCTACATTTAAAAATTCTAGGGAATAATCTTTTACAAGGTAAAAATAAACCACAACTAGATACGCAATAATCGTTCCGTGCTTAAAACCTCCCCAGACTAATTAACTAATTTGAAAAGACAATTTGACTAACAGTTATTAATTCAGCGGTCTAGACGAAATATCGACATCCACATTGTCCTATTTGTCTCACAAATTTTATAATAAACTGCCCCCAAAAATACGGTCTTTACCACTACACCAATTTAAACTAGTCATCAAGCAACTGTTGATATCTCACTCCTCTTATTCTTACGATAAGTTTTTAAATTGTAAACTTTAATGTGAATTGTAACCTGTTTTAACTTCACTCCAGTACAACCTTGACATGTGTAAGTACAATATGTATAACAACACGAATTACTTATATATTATTATTTATTATTATTATTGCCATTGATTACATAGAAGTGTATTACCTACTGCAGCGGATCTAGTTTAGGGCAGCATCTGCTGTATTCGCTGTGGCAACGGTGCGAAAAGTCTCCCCAACCACTCGACAAATGATGCGTCGAGTTTGAAACCAAAGGCCGGCCCTAAAAATGTTGACATGAATATTGTAGAGAATGTGCCGTGTGGAACCTACGATTCGTATACAGAAAAATGTTCAGCAATTTACTTAAAGTTAGAAGAACCTATCTTGAGATCCTTGCCCCTATATATTGGAAGACCGGTAAAACATTAAAGTCACACTTGGTAAACAAAGTCCAAATTGAGGTACTTTACAAAACCATCATTGTGATATAGCCCTCCCAATGAACCTAATTGCTAATATTTTAGCTAGCCACCAGATAGAGCCCTAAACGTGCGTCGTTAGACACGAAATGCTGTGTTTGTAGTATTGTTATTTCCAATCCTTATAGGGTAAGGTTGCCAAAATCGTACCGCTTTCCAGTTTTTATTTATTTTTTCTACAGTTATGTGATAAAATGTGAATCCGTTTGTTGCAAATTATAAAATACTGTTTTAGCTTCAAACAGTAATTTTTGTAGGCACGAAACTTCTATGTTTACTGCAAAATTTCAATTTTCCTAAGAGCGTGCAAGTGGTACGATTTAAGGAACCAGTTGCTCAAATCGTACCTGCGGTTTCCCAAATCGTACTTTTAATTTCTTATGAGAAAATGGTATAGGAACTATGAACTAACTATAAATCTTTCTTCATTAATAAAAACCGTGTAATGGAAGTAATTCACACTTTATTGTTTAAATGTATAAAACTAATTAATTTTAACTACAAAGGTCACAAATATAGGAGCTTTTAACGTGTACACCGGCACACATTTCGTGAGCCCATTTCCTGCACTGCATGCATTGAATCATGTCTTCGATTATGCTTTCATTGCATAACGAGCAATACCAATCTTCTTCGTTTGTTTCTATTATAATGACGGGTTGTTTTGGTTTTACATTCTCTTTATCTGCAATATTTTTGTTTACCTTTTCTTTTTTCGCCGCTGCCTTTTGTTTGTTACTTCTGGATTTTTCTTCTTTTTTTTCTTTTTCTTTTTGTTTTAGCTCGAGTTCCTTTTTGTAGGGACTTTCAGTTAGTATTGCAGCTTTTTGTGCACCTTTTCTAATTCGGGTGTCATGCTTTTTTGTTGGTCTTGGGATAGGGCTTATTTCTGCAATTGACACCTTTAAGGAGGACCTTTTATTTAATTCTGCGAGCTCTTCATGGTTTAAACCACTCGTTGAAGGTTCATCGAGCACATGTTGAATAATCTTGCTTCCACTTGAATTGGACACGTTATTTTCTTCAATTACGGTGTGTTCTGGCTCGGGATTGGTGGACTGATGATCTAAATTTTCACTGGCTACAAAATCGGCATCCGTAAATACGTTGCGGTTAACTGGCCATGTACCTGTACCACGAAAACCATTCACTGCATTATCGATAGTTGCCGATCTTGTAAAGGCTTCTGTCAATAATGCGGTAACTTCAAATTGGGTAACTTTTTGTCCAGGGTTTGTGCGAAGCCATTTAGCCATCACTTGAGTATAATTTGATTCCATGGATTTGAAAACACCCACATCCAGTGGTTGCAATCTGTGAGTTGTGTGGCCTGGAAGCTGAAGTAATATAATTCCATGTTCTCTAGATAATTTGATTGCCTCCAGATTTTTCGAATGAGTGGTGTGCCCATCCAATAATAGGAGGCACTTTTCCTGTGGGCTGGGTTTCACAAACTTGATAAAATGTTTCAACCACAAAACAAATAACTGGGAGTTGATGTACCCACTTTCACTGGTTTCAACTATGCTACCAGGAAAGCATCCATTTTTTAGTGCCGGGTGCATGCGTAACCTTTTAAATATAAACATGGGTGGCACGTAATTTCCAGTAGCATTGACACAACACACTAATGTGGTATTTATACCACGTTCCCCGCTAGCTACAAAACCTACTTGGTGTTTCCCTTTGGATGCTAAAACCTTGGGAGCCTTTTTTTGAACTGTCGAGAAGCCAGATTCATCGACATTATATATGTGAAATCCGTCAATTCCATTTTCATCGACCACGTTTTCAAGTATGTCAAAAAAGTTATAAACATTTGTCTTATTGAAGCCTTTGCACCGTGCAATGGATACGTTCTCTGGTTGTCGCAAACTTATGTTTGGATGTCTTGCCAAAAATGCGTAATACCACTTTTTTCCGGCCATTTTAGTTTCCTTGTTAAAGGGGTTCGGAATATGCGGATTCGCTGCCAAAATGTCATACGCAAGCTTACGGACGTCATTAATTGTTAGTCCAAAAAGCAATTCTTCAAATTTCAAAATGTGCTCCACCAATTGGCGTTCGACTTCTTCTGGTAAGGCCAGTTCACGTCCATTAACACGTCTTTTGGCCTGATGCGTGGTATCATTTCCTCTCTTGACCTGTCCCAATAGGTGCCTCCTAAATGTCGGTTTTGGAATTTCATATTTTCGACAACATTCATTAAAACCTATATCATTCTTTTCATATTCACTCAATGCCCGTTTCATAGTTTCGGAAGACCACTTTCCATATTCTCTCTTCGGCATTTTTTTCTGCAAATGAACCCAATGTAAATTGTGTACCTACCTATTTTTCAAAAATGTGCCTAGACTGTTTTTATAAATGTGGCGCGAAAACAATTAGTTTCCCAAATCGTACTGGTACGATTTTGGAGACTAGCGTGTGGTACGATTTAGGCAACTTGATGCATAATCAGTAAAAAATTAATTTAACCTAATCTGAGGATCGTTACTAAATTTTGAAATATACAAACATTTCCAAACATTTTGCTCTAAAGAACTAATACAACATATACTTCACTACACCACTTACCTTAGCAACACGCCCTTACAAAAAGCCGCAAAATCTTGTATGAAAATGATCACTTTCTTTTAACACTGTTTGGCGCGTAAATGCGGTTACACCTGTAACTATGATACTGCTATAACTGACTAATGTTTGATTGTCCTGGTGAATACTATACTAGATGGCGATAAAAGTCGCGCCTTTATTGAAAAACGAACGTGGTACGATTTAGGCCCCGGTACGATTATGGCTACCTTACCCTACATGACTAAACACCAAACAAACATACCAAACAAAGCAGACAGAAAGAGAACAAAATCTAATACGAGGAAAAAATGAAAATTATCAATAACATTACGGTCTGCTGATGGATATTCGGAGAAAATGTGTTACATGAGCTTGAGCACCTTTTACCCAAAATCGTGCTGAAACCTTCATTTTCATGCCTACTTTCTATCAGGAAATTTTGGTTTCCATGACAGAGGCAGAACAGACAAAAGTTTCTATATAAAAATTGAAATGTTATATTAAAGCACGATTTCGGGTAAAATTTAATACATACAAAACTCGTCAGTAAAATGACATTACTTGACTCGGAAATTAAAGTACTCGGCCCCATTGAGGCCTCGTACTTCAATATTTCCTCGCCAGCAATATGACATTTTCCTGACTCTTATGTAAATAACTATTAATTTCGCTACCCGCCTTAATTTGTAATGGCGCTATTTATACGCCCACAGTATTATCTTAATATAACGAAAACTCAATTTCCTGAAATTTTTCAATTAACTTTAGATATTAAATTTATAAGCATTCGTCGAAATAAAAAATTACCGGGCACAGATTTCCTTTTAACATTAAACGAAGCGTGACCTACAATAAGTTTTGGATTGCAAGCGTTTTAAACCCCTTAACAAATTTCATCAGGCGTATGTATATCAGCAGCGTATACTGCTATATGAAACGGAACTTCGGCCGCGAAATATCGGATGCCTTTGGCGCCCTTAATATGCGGGAACCGTTAATTTATCAATCCCCTGAATTGCGCTTAAGGGAATCCAACTGCAAACACAAAAAGCAGGATACGTCAACGCCCAGAGCAAGCAAATATTGAATCTCTTAATAATGAAGGTAACTCATTTCTTCAAGATTTTATTCTTTCGTTCTCTGTAACGGTTGGATATAAGTAACGATTGCGTAGCCCTAATTTAAACGGATGTAATATTTTAAGAGATATCCGCATTGCTGAAAATAAATTCCTGGAATGAACACGGAAAATACACATGTAGGGCGCACCGCTTCTAAACAAAGGTGTCAAGAATGTAACCATTTTTCCTTGATAGGACCAGCGTTTCTTTGAATGCATCAATAAATGTGGCCAACTATGGGGCGAATCAGACCAGCAAAACAAATGGAGAGTGAGTTTCCAGTTAATAATGAGAAACGTAACAGGGATAAAAATAATAGTCAGTGCACAAGAGGAAAGTCCGGAAGTCATTTTACATCGTGTTCTGGTCCTTTTGGTCCAGAAGCGGAGTGGCCGATTACTCTTTCCATAGAGCTACGTGGTGAGAATAAATTTACTAGGGCAGAAAGTGTCTTATTGTCAGAACTGCAACGGTGAAAAATCAACTAAGCCAACAAAGGAGAACAGTAACGTAACAAAACATAGGTACGTAAAATGGTTAATCGAGAGGTTATCAAGAAAAACCTGCTGTGACAAAAAAGGCTCGGAATTCAAAAGACTGCGAATTACAACATTAAAGCATTAAAACCTGAAAGACGAGAATAAGTTATGAAAACAACCCCTAAAGATAAAGTTTCCACTTACCCTCCTCCGACAGATAATAGAATGGGTTTTGCATTAAGTGGATATCGTACATAAAACGATAATGAGTTACAGGACGCAACAAAGCCGTAGAAAATGACGTCCCCTAGTAAACATTTTCCCATATTTACGTTTTTCATTTAAAATTTCGTTTGGCAAAATTGTATTTCGGCAAGAAAATACGTAAGGCGATGGAAGGTATGCTTATCAAGAATAGAGAACGAAATGTAATATTTTCTCATCTTTCACTTTTGATTTGAATTTTAAAGTAGGCTACATAGATTTTGAAATTATTAAATTTCTCTGCAGCCACCCACACCTTATAGTATTTCACAAACTTTTTTCTTCCGTTGTCAAAGTTGTGCCTTGTTTACAATTATTAATCCCTGATTCCGCTCATCCCTTTTTTGTTAAGTTTAAGTAAACGATTTTTCTCCTATTCGAAATGT